ACTCAGCTAAATATTTCCTTCCCCTGTGCCTCAGTTTCCCCATCCTTAAGATGGCCGTCATCGTAGAGTCCCCACCTCTTTCCCAGGCAAGAGTGAGAATGGAATGGAATGCATAAAGACAGCGTTGAGCCCAAGGTCTAACACATAGTAGGTGCTCACTAAATGGGCGCGAGGCATTACATTAGCTAGTTGTTATAAATATGTTGGGGGATGCTCAAAGGCCGCAGACAGGGAGTCCCCTCAAATAAGTACTTGTTTAGAAGTCCTCTGGACGGAGGCCCAGAAAACCAGCATGTTAAAAGGATAAATAGTCTCAGAGCGCCGGACAAAGTCTGGGACCGAGGGGGAGGGGATCGGGCGCAGGGAAGGGTTAAGCCTCAGACAATGGAGGCAGTCTGAACTAACCAGGGCCGCTCCTTTGAGTCGTGAGAAGAGCTACTTTCTTGGTTAAAGCCTTAAAGAGCTATTAAGTTGGGCAAATCACTGATAAAACAGCTGGAAACCTAAGTAGCAATTTAAACAGCCCATGGCCCTTCCATCTCGAGGTGGAATCCGCGGGCCGGGGCCCTACATTGTCTGGGCTAAGAGGATTGAGTGGACCTCTCCCTGGCCGGCTCTTTATTGAGCAAATCCACAATTTCTACCCTCCTCCTCCTCCTCTCCCCCTCTGATTTCCCCTCCTTTCTCTCCTGCCCCGAGTTCGCCCACTTTTTCTTTATGCGGCTCCAATGAAGGCCTCGCCTCATAGAGCCCCTGCGCACCAATGGGTCCTTAAATAAAACATGTTTCATTGATCAACTTCAAAAAGTCTTCCTTGGGGCGGGGGGCGGGGGTGGTCTCGGGCAGGCCAGGGAGGGGAGGGCACGGAGACAGCGGGGACTGTCCCCTGGGGCGCGATTCTGCAGGCAGAGCTCACATTCACTCACCCTCAGTGGACGAGAAAGGGGGGCTCTGTTGCTTTAAGTGTTTTATTTTATTTTTTCTTAGTCTCCCCGCAAATAACAATTGGGGCCACCTAAACAGAGCTCTGGCCTCCAAGGAGCCCCCCCCCCACACACACACACACACATGGAAATGTGGTGGCCAGATTCCAGCTTCCTTAGCATCCATTCCAGAAACTTGAGAGCCTCCCCTGGGGGATTTGGGGGACCCAGTCAGGATCCTGTGTGGCCGCCCGCTGCCCCCCCCGCCGCCCTGAGTGGGCCCCATCTGAGGGACAGAGTACAAGAGCCCATTGATGGTTGAATCCCGGTCCTCAACAAAGACTCAGTGAGCACCTACTATGTGCCAGGCGTTTCTACTAATTCATTTTATTTTTATGGATTTTTTTTTAATTGCAAAAGCAGTGAGTGCCAATTGCAAAACTTTTCCATGCCCCACTGTGGGTACCCAGTAGAAAGCAAAAGCTCCCACTGGGGCCCTCCAAGAAGGAAAGTCATATTCACATTTGGAGGTTGCTTTTTGAGACTTCTTTATACAAATGCACACAAGCAGAGAGCCATTTTCAGTCGTGCTTTTACAAGCAGGTTCACATACAGATCCTGGTTTTTTTTTTTAATGTTTATTTATTTTTAAGACAGAGAGAGAGAGACAGAGCATGAATGGTAGAGGGGCAGAGAGAGAGGGAGACACAGAATCCGAAGCAGGCTCCGGGCTCTGAGCTGTCAGCACAGAGCCCGACGCAGGGCTCGAACCCACGGACGGTGAGATCATGACCTGAGCTGAAGTCGGACGCTCAACCGACCGAGCCACCCACGGCTACCTATTAATATTCTATTGTGTTCGTGTCATAACTGACTCAGCCATTCCCCTCTAGAAAGCTCTTTAGATTGACTTCTCTTGGTCTATATGGCACGCATTTCTGTAGAGATTCCCGGATGGGCAACTGTTGTCTCAAAGGTTGTTACATTTTATTTTATTTTTCCTTTTCATACAACACATGGGTGAAGTTGCCTAACACAGGCCAATCTTAACTATTCAGCTCAATACACTTGTTTCAGGTATATACCTGTGTTATCCCCACCCAGGCTAAGATACAGAATGCTTCCAGCACCCCCCAGAAGCGGGCCTTGTGCCCCCTCCCAGTCAATCGTCCACTCTAGAGGTAAGGAAGGAGAATTTCACATTTTGACAGACGAGCGCTCCATAAAAGCTGCTCTAATTTACCTCCTGTGACAGCACCCAGCCCTGTTCAGCCCTGGGTGTTATTGACCTTTGTCTTTTTGGCCAATCCCCTTGATCTAGGTGACCCCTTTGATGGGAGTGGAGCCGGACCGCCTTTTCTCCAACAGCACCCTCTGCTTTGGAAACTCCTCCTCTGTAGACTGCCGGTTTGCCTCCTTGGCGCATTTACTCTGGTCCCTCGAGAATTCATTCTCTGGGCCATCTGGAAGCTTGGGATGGGTCTGAGCGCCTCCCCTCCCCGTACTCGGCTTCACACTTCCAAATTCTTTACCCTGTAAGTTAAAGAAGAGTTTAAGAGTTCTGCTGTGTTTACTTCTGGGTACCTACCTTGCTGGTGTTTTTCCCTCGAAACCCCTTGGACGTGTCGTTTAGTCCTAACTGGGCCTCGGTTTCACCATCTAAGAAATGGGGATAGGGGAGCCTGGGTGGCTCAGTCGGTTGAGCGTCCGACTTCGGCTCAGGTCACGATCTCGCGGTCCGTGAGTTCGAGCCCCGCGTCGGGCTCTGGGCTGATGGCTCGGAGCCTGGAGCCTGCTTCCGATTCTGTGTCTCTCTCTCTCTCTCTCTCTGCTCCTCTCCCCGCCCCCCCCCCCACCCCGCACTCTGTCTCTCTCTTTCCCTCTCAAAAATAAATAAACATTTTTAAATAAAGAAAGCAGGGCGTCTGGGTGGCTCAGGTAACTACTTGGAATTCTCTCTCCCTGTCTCTCTCTCTCTCTCTCTGCCCCTCCCCCATTGGCACGCACTCTCTCTGTCTCTCTCAAAACAAATAAATGAACTTTAAAATAAATAAACAAATAAACTTTAAAATAAATAAACACTTTAAAATAAACAAGTAAATAAACTTTAAAATGAGTAAACAAACAAATACATAAAGGAGGGAAGGGAATGTGGTCAAATCAACGTGATGCTCACTGGGCCAGGCAAAGACACAGGACCCGTCTGCTGCAGGGTCTCCGAGAGCCCTTCATCGGCCACCATTTGGGAGGATTCTCCAAGAGGACGAGGCAGGTACAAAGCAAGGCGGTTCCCAAGTGGATTTGACCCTGGACTCCCAGAGGAACAGGCTTTTGCTCTCAGAGAGAGCCACCTGCGAAGAGGACTCAGGGTACGGTTACACGGATGCTCAACCCGATTCACAGTGCCCCACCCAGGGCAGAGGGATCTTTCTAGAACTCAAATCTGCCAGCTGCTTCCCTTGGCTAGAACCCTCCCATGGTGCCCCAGCACCTTCAGGATAAAGCTGGAGCTCCTGGGGAGCCAGACTGGCCTCCCTTGTCTCTGCCTCCAGGCCCCCGGGAACCGTGTGCAGTTGCCTCTGCTTCCCGGGATGTTTTGCACCGGTTCCTCCACTTGGAATGCTCTGCAAGCCACCAGCCACCTGCTGAACTCCTATTCATCCGACAAAACCCGACTTACCTCTTCCGTGAAATTTTACCCTCGCGCATGCCGTTCCCCCCCCCCCCCCTTGCCACCACTCCTGCCGCTTTGGTGCTCTTCCCTTCACCTTAAAGCTGCACCTTGCACAGGCCTCAAATACCTCTCTCAGAGGTAACTATCGACTCATTCCTCTCCCCGACTGGACTCGAAACTCCCGCAGGGCAGAAACTAGCTATGCTCAGCTCAGCAAGAACAGTGAGTGCTTGGTAAATGTTTGTTAAAACTCTAACGAATGTCACCCAAACAAAAGCACAGTGGTTTGAAGATGCGACTTTCTTTTCACTGAGCGTGGCGGATTGATTATCTAGGGCCAGAACCTCAAAAAGGAAGTTACGAACTCTCCAGCCTCGTATGGCCTGCATTCTGGTGGGTTCACCAGACAAGGAGTTCAAACCCCCCCCTGGCCCAGGTGGGCGTGTGAGCCTAGCTTCACCCACTAGACTCATTGCATTGCCGGGAACTTGAATCTTGACTCGAGGACAGAGGCTCTTTGGAGCTGATTCATCCTGGGCCCGGAGAGCATGGCCTTGGTTCCCTCTGCCTGAACTTCTGCCTTGGTCTCTGTTCTGCCTATGTTTTATGTTGTCCTTTTTCCTCCTAAAGGTACCCACCTCCTTGCGAAAGATCTTGCGTGATTTAAGTTATCCAGACTCACATTCTGTCACTTGCAACCGTGCTCCGCGTCGGCAAGCGGCGCTCCCTGTCCCACCCAGGTTGGCGTCCTCCCCCCTCTTGTTTACATATGTTTCTTGGCACTTTATCCTGCCCAAATTTTATATCCGTATTTATTGAGTGCCAGCTGTATGCCAACAGCCATGCCAGGAACTTCCCGTGTGTCATCTCATCTGTCCCGCGTTTCACATACGGTGACGCCAAAAAGCTCAGAGGCTCTGGAATTTCCTTGAGGGCACATAGCCGGTTACATGGTCGTGTCCACCCAGGTCTAAAACCAGATCGTGCGGCCCGTTGCAGGAGACCTGTAATATAGCAGAGAGAAACAAGGGTGGTTTTGGGAAACCGGGCCCTCTGGCTGGAGGCTTGGCTGCTTCCTGCAAAGTTCATGCACCAGAGTCTGCCTCTCCAGCCTGGGCTGCTTCGTCACCCACCGGCAGGGACGTGACCCTAGCGTCTGTGTCCCTAGCATCTGGCATCCTTTCTTTCCAAATAAAAGGAATCTTCCTCCATCTTCGTTGGGCACTAATACAACTCAGTAGCTCTTTTTTTTTTTCTTCAACCATTTAAGTGGGACCAGCACAGCTCGGAGGGGTGGGGGTGAGAGGGGTACTTAATTTTCTGGGGCTCAGTTTCTCCGTCTGTAAAATGGAGGATTTGAAACGCCTGATCTCAGCCTTCGACTATGAGGATCAAACAAGACGATGGGCGTGAATGGTAAGCTGTAAAGTCCCGCACAAACACCCATTGTCACTACCAGCGTGACCTGCCCTGTGAGACTAGTTACCAAAGAGCTCAGTTGACCTTGGAGGCAGAGCCAGGGAGCCCAGGTCCCCTGGTCAAGCCCCCTCAGGCCAGTTTTTTTCACTCCCTCAACATTCCTGGGAGATAAGGCTGCCAGGCAAGAAAGCCATAATGGCTCATTGTGCATGGGGTGCGGGGGTGGGGCGCGTCCATCCCCAGCCGGCAGTGGGCGGCTGTGGGAGCCCTTGATCGTGGTCACACGAGCCCCTCCTCCTTGGTGGGAGGGGCATTCTTGAAGTTGAACGAGTCCAGGCCTGGGACCAGAGAAGGGCTGACACCTTCCGTTAAATGGCCAAACAGGGCAAGGCCCCCCGAGGGTGGGAAAGCGGTGGGTTTCTGGGCCACGAGCCCTTGACTTCTGTTTGGACCCCGGGAGACCCACCCTGGGATGTCGCTGACCAGCACCGGTGCCTCCTGATTGTGTGTATCACCACTGCCACCAATTAGCCCGAAGAAGATGTCTGAGGGATTCCAGAGCCATGCCTACTCTCTGTGCCTCCTCCGCTAGACCCCTTGCTGGGCACTGGTGACGGGAGGCACGGAAAGGGACTAGTGACTCCTAATTCACTCGTGGCATCCTCACTCTGTACCGAGGATCATGGCTTCTGCCCTGTCCACAGCCACGAGGTCCTTGCCTGGCTCCCTGATAGTTCTGCCTCCTTGGAGGACTGTGTGGTCTTGGGTTTCGAGGGTCGCTTACAACTCAGGCAGGCAGCATTGTGCGTGCCAGGCAGTGACCCCAGAGGGCAGAAGAGGTTGAGGATGCGGAGAAGGGTCCACAGGTTCGAGAGACACTTAGGAGGTAAGATTGACAGGTCGTGGTAACACTTCTCTGAGAAGCAACGTAGCAACAGGTGTAGAAGCAATTTGGCAAAAGCTGCTGCTTCCCTTCCATCCAGTTATTCCACCTCCACAGATTTATTTCAGAGTGACGATCAGAGGTGGGCAGAGATTCAGGTACAAGGATGTTCCGCTCAGTGCGGTTTATAAAGCAAAAAATTAGAATCCGTTTAGGCTGGTTAGGTAAGTTGTGGCACATCCTTGCAATGGAATACTACATAGCCAGTTTTTTTTTAATTACATTTTAAAGTCTATTTATTTATTTTTGAGGGAGAAAGAGAGAGCGCAAGCGGGAGAGGGAGGGAGACACAGAATCCAAAGCGGGCTGCAGGCTCTGAGCTGTCAGCACAGAGCCCGACGCGGGGCTCGAACCCATGAACCGCGAGACCATGACCTGAGCCAAAGTCAGACGCTTAACAGATTGAGCCACCTAGGTGCCCCTTAAATTATATTTTAAAAGAAGATTTAATGCTTATGGTCCTGAATGAAATGAGAGAAAACAGTTTGCAAAGCTGTATGTGCGGAATGAAATGCAAAAAGCATGCTGAGCAAAAGAAAGCAGGCAAGAGACTACCTCATTGGGCAGGAGTCCATTTGCATGAAGTTCTAGAACAGGCAAAACTCATAATCCTTAGTCAAGGGCACCGGACTGGTGGTTGCCCGAGTCCAGGGAGTTAGGGCAATTGATGGGAAAGGCAGGTGGAGATTCGGGGGGTGTGGTACATGTTCTTTATTTTGATTGTGATGGAAATTACGCAGCTCTCTGCATCCATCAAAACTCACTGAATGGTGCAGCGTCTTTGGAACCGAATAGCACTTTCTCAAAATTAAACATAGAATTACCATATGATCCAGCAATTCCACAACTAGGTATTTCCCCCAAATTACTGAAAACAGGGCTTCCAAGCAATATTTGCACACCCAGGTTCTTAGCAGCATTCCTCACAGTAGCTAAAGGTGGCGACATCCCAAATGTCGATCCACAGATGAACAGATAAATGAAGTTGTGATAGATACAAAACAAAAATCATTCAGCCTTAAAAAGGAATACAATTCTGATCATACCACACAGATGAATCTTTCTTTTTTTTAACTTTTAATTTTTATTTTAGAGAGAGAGAACGAGCGTGAGTGGAAGAGAGAGGCAGAGAAAGAGAGAGAGAGAGAGAGAGAGAGAATCCCAAGCAGGCTCTGCACGGTGAGCACAGAGCCCGACGCAGGGCTTGATCTCACAGTTTGTGAGATCATGACCTGAGCTGAAATCAAGAGTCAGATGCTTAACCCGCTGAGCCACCCAGGCGCCCCAGGGGAGTTAGTGTTTAACGGGGACAGAGTTTGGGAAGATGAAATCATTCTGGAGATGGATGGTGGTGATGGTCACGCAAGTACGTAAATTGCACTTAATGCCACTGATCTGCAGACTTAAAAATGGTTGAAATGGTCAATTTTATGTTACGTATATTTTAGTACAAAAAATTGTTTTCAACTCAACAAACCATGCACTTAAACTGGTGCACTCTCTTCTATGGTAAGTATGCCTGTATAAAAAGGATTTATGAAAATTTTAAGACAAACATGGAGGTCAGAAAATATGCTTTATGTATAACATCATCTTAATTTCATTTAAAAAAAATTTTGTTTTAATGCTTATTTTTGAAAGGGCAAGACAGAGCACGAGTCGGGGAGGGGCAGAGGGAGAGGGAGACACAGAAACTGAAGCAGGCTCCAGGCTCCGAGCTGTCAGCACAGAACCCAATGCGGGGCTCAAATCCACGAACTGTGAGATCGTGACCTGAGCCGAAGTCGGACGCTTCACCGACGGAGCCCCCCAGGCGCCCCTTAATTTCATGTTTTAAGTGTATACGCTCATAGAAAAAAAGACTGGAAGGAATACAGCAAAAGGTTCATTGTCATCCTGTCTGGATCTTTCCTACATTGAGCAGACGTAACTTCTAAAATTGGGAAAAGTGTTAATTTTAGGTAAAAGGTGTTCTTGCACAAATCAGCATTTGCAGAGCGTGTGGTGAGAACACACTCATCCCTGCACCTCCCACAACGCTGTTTAAATATTGCTGGCCGCACGGGTCACCTTGGTGCAGGGGACTCAGACAGGCTCCACTGTGGTTGAAAGGGAATTTGAAGGTCCGGTCCACTCCATGGCTCTCTGAGACAGACTTCCCATCTTGGCATCGTGGCTCCTTTTGAGATTCGGGTCCTGGGGCAAGAATCAGCTCCTGGGAAAGAGCTTCGCTGCCCACCCCACCCCACCACCACCCCGTCTCAGTTCTCTGCACAGCCCTCGTCCCTCTGTTAGGCTTTTCTTGTTTCTGGTTTCTTGTGGTCTGTCCCCCCTCCAGCGGACTGTGAGCTCCACGAGGGCAGGGATCCAGCCTGGCCGGCTCACTGCTGTATCCCCAAGACCGAGAACAGCGTCTGGAACAAAGGAGGTACTCGGTAAATATCCCTTGACTCACTAGACTACCTGGCCGCCGTGGGCTCACTGCTGACCCCGTGGCTGGCACTTCACAAATGTGATCCTTGGAGAGTCTCACGCCTTCTCCGTGAGGTGGGCATTCTTGCTTTTAGCAGGGAAGATACTGAGTCACAGAGAAGTGCCGTGGCTTGCCCAAGGCCACACAGCAAGTAAGCGACAGACAGAGCGGGGATTCAAGTCCTGATCTGCCAACCCCCTGCTCTTTCCCTCCACTCCACCGCTGAACATTTCAGACTGTGGGTCAGAGGGAGGGTCCAGGAACTGGACAGGGTGTCACGAGCCCCCAGCTCCTTCTCATCCTGACTCTGACTGGCTGGGTCGACCAAGGGCAACATTTCCCATTCATTCATTCATTCATTCACTCATTCCTGTGTGACCTTGGGCAAGGCACTCAATTTCTCCGGGCTACACTGCACACCTATAAATGAGGATAACAGCGCCTACCTCATCCGGTGATTGTGGAATTACATGAATTAATATATATCAAGGGTTTAGAACAAGGCCTGGAAAGGGTCATTTATTGATGGTGTCATTTCATGGAGATATCCCCAACCCTACACATCCATTCAGCAGGACACTTATGGCTTCAAGAGATGGGAACTAACATAATTGTCTTAAGGACAGAAGGCAGGGCTCAACCGGGGCCTCGAACACTGTCAGGTCCCTCCTGTCCCCTCCCCTCTCCTTCTCTGCTCTCTCTCTTCTCTCTCCCTCTCCATCTCTCCCCTCTGCTTCTCTCTGACTGATGGATCCAGTCTTTCAGGCCAGCTGTCTACATCATCGCAGAACCACAGTGACAAGAGCCTTTCCGGACACCCATGTACTGCTCCATGACCACACAGGGAGTAGACACATCCACCAGCCCATGTAGAGACTCCCAGGGAAGGCGTCTGATTGGCTTGGCGTAGCCACAAGTCCTCGCCTACACCAATTATGTGGCTGGGGGCATGGGATACAAGAAATGGCCCATCCAGAGCCACCTGTCCACCACTGGGCCTTGGGTCTGGAAAGGATACTAGGTGACCGGGAATTCTAACGCACCTGCTCATCTTGACCTGAAGAGGAGACAGATCTATTAACCAAAAATTTCAGGTTTCAAAGCTGAACCAGTGCCCGTGATGGGGGATCATGCAGGGCCCAAGGGCCCCAGACCACCCATTCTGAGCCCCTGAAGACAGCGGTCCAACTAGCCAGTCCAGCGTCCCCATGGGGCACAGAGGATGGAGACAGCCAGGAGAAAGTGGGCAGTTGGATTGACTCCCCAAAGCCCCGGATAGGACAGGGCACCTCTGAGGGCAGGGCATCTGAGCCGAGCATTGAGTCTGAATGTGCCAGACCTATGGGATGGGAAGGGTATTGAGAGAGGAGGGAAGGAAGCATGCTGTGGCCCAGAGGCATGAGGCAGCGTGGAAGTCTACCAGGCAGGGGGCTGAGGATGAGCAGGTCCACAGGGTCCCGTCTCTCAGGGTCTTGGGCGGACTCTGTCCCGTAGGCAGCAGAGTGGAGAGGTCAGGTCGGCCTTTGGAGAGCTGACTCCAGCTAGCCCGGAGGGACGAGTTTGAGCCTCTGTGGAGTCACTTGCATGAGAGCTGGTGTTGTCTCAACAAGCCAGTGGCTGAAGGGATGGAGAGGAGAGGTCACGAATGCAGAGCTGACAGGGTTTGGTGCGGGTGGTGAGGAGAAAAGGCAGGGAGCCCTAAGGGGCGCTGACCTGGGCAGTGCGGTTAAAGGTGCCTGAGGGGGGCAGCAGAACTGTGAGGCTGGGCCTCAGTTTCCTCGTCTATCAAATGAGTGTGGGGTGGACCACCTCTAGGATTCATTTGCACGGGGTATGGCGTGTGTATGTGAGTCATATGACCCCTTACTTTCACTTCTATACAGCCCCTTCCCAAAAGTGAGGGACTGCCATCTACACGGGGGGAAAAATTCTTTTTGCACCTGTTGGAAAGATGAGGGAACATAAAGTTGGGTGGTGCCTAAAATCAGCCCCATGAATTATGAACTGTTACAGTCTGTCTGGCCACTATGTAGAAACCACTTTTCTCAATAGCAAAGCCAAAAGAGGAAAACCTTGTGCCTTCCAGAGAGGAGCACTCTTGTGCCCTTTGAGCCTTTGAGGGAGTTTTATTAACAGGTAATGGTGAAGAGTGTCATTGGAGTCCGGCAGACCTCGGTTCAGATCCCACCTCTGCCATTTGTTAGCTCTGTGGTCCCAGACAAGCGGCCTGAGTCTCTGTTTTCTCTGGTGGTTAGTGGGGGGGCGGGGGGGGGTGGCGGTTTCAACCCCTCGGGATGGAATGAAACAGCGTGCGTGTGCACATGTCTCAGGTATACAGGGACACTAGAACGTGGGAACGACTGTAATCACAGGGGAGGAATTAGTAAGGAGGTCAGGACATGCTGCGTGCCCGAACACAGGTGGGTCATCTCAGAGAAGTCGCTAGAATGTGAGCAGGAGATGACCAAGGTCCTGGGGACCGAGACCCCCATTTGACAGCCAGGGCTCAAGCCAAGAAACCCAACTGGCGGGGCCCAGGGTCACGGAAGGATTGCAAGAGAGATTCTCCTTGAAGGTCTAAAGAAGTGTGTGGCATAAGGGGGATTATTACAAAACCCCATTTTTAACAGGAAAGGACAAGAAAGCCTCTAAACTCATGGAATGACATTTCATGCTGGCAGAGAACTTTGTTTCCTCAAAGAACTTTTGCAACTGTTATTAATCAAGAGACTTCTTCTTGAAGAAGTTTTCTTTTTAAAGCAAGGTATTCTTTTGCTGAGGACTGGGGTCACCAGGGACAGCCGGGTGGCAGAGGCTGCGTGCGTGTGTGTGTGTGTGTGTGTGTGTGTGTGTGTGTGTTGGAAGGAAGCCCCCCTCTTCCTCAAACTTCTGCGAGGCGTCACCAGGGGGAGCTAAAGGGCCCCGGAGACCAGCGGTCCTGCCAGCCTGCTCCGCTTCCCCCGCAGGGCAGAGGGGATAAGGGTGGCCAGGCGAGCAGGCAGCCGGGTTCACCCCCCAAAACCCCGTCAAACAGCCAAAGAATCTTTATCCACTCCCTGGAGCAATGTGAATTCTCGGTTACGTGACGTTCATTCTCGTTTCTTTGTTCGTTCATTCACTAATCCTTGCTTAGACGTCAGGGGGGAGCTGCAGCCCCAGATGCAGATGGGGCGTGAACCCCGCCTTCAGGAACCCCCAGTTTGGGAAGAGGGAGCTGTGAAACCCCAGGTGAGCCAGACTCCGATGAGGACAGCAGCCCCCAGGTGCGTGGGGCAGAGGTGTGGGCAGAGGAGAAGGGTGAGCTTTGTGAAGAAGGGCATAAAGGGCGCTCCCGGCAGAGGGAGACACACAGGCAAGGACCCAGGGGGGTGACAGCAGGACGTCTGGGGGGCCCTCTTCGCCTGTGGTTCCGCGAGGCTGGGACTGCTGCGCGTGCCTTGTTAGCGGCACAAAGCATTCAGGGCTTGCCTGGAAGGTGATAGGGAGCTATGGAGTGTTCCCTCCCAAAGTGACTTGTCGGGTTCATCCCTAGACCTCCACACTCGTGGCTCAGTTTGCAAGAGCTGCGAGATACCCCTTGCTGGAGTCCAGGCATACGTGTTCTCACCCCGGCCAACTGGTCCTCGCCCCCTGTTGCTGCTGTCTCCGTGGGCAGCTCTCCGCCGTGTCACCATCACAGACGTGCAATGCTTTACAGTTTCGAGGCACTTCGAGAGCATTCACTCCTCGGTCCCTGCCTTCTTCAGTGGATGCTGGCACATTCTCCTGACTGTCAGGAAAATATCCTTCTCCTGTTTTGTGCCCAACACTAGGGTCTCGGATGCCTCCGTGGCCAACCCAGGAGCAGAAGTGACCGCCTGTTTCTCTCCCACCGCCTTTAGTGCATTGGTGGGGACTCACCAGTGTCTCTCCTCTCCACTCCCGTCCCCTGCTCCCTGACTCCTCTGCACAGACCACAATCTCCTCCTGGAAAGAACCATGTTTTCTCCATCTGCAACACCTTCCACCAGTCAGGCTGGGGACTAGAACTTGGTATGAGTGAGAGCTGCCCCCGGGGTTGTGGAGTCACAGTCTAAAAAGCTGTCGCCCTGCCTCCATTCACTGCTTGATCTGCAGGGGGGGGGGGCGGGGGGGACAAAGCCTGGAAGAAAATTCCTGTGCTGTCATCAAGCTTGGGAGCCACCTGGCCAGAAGCGAGGGGCCCCTGATGAACAGGCCCTTTGAAAGACATTGTTTCTGCTCAGTTAGCGCCCCCCCAAAAGGACCTCGCCCTCAACCTCACATTTCTTGCCCCGTTACTGATGCACAAGACCATGTGCATTTCTGAGGGAGCTTTCTCCCCCCAGAAACCCAAAACCACGCAGTTGGGAGGAGGACAAAATAAAGCCTGCAAAGATAATGGGGTCTCCCAAATTAAGCCACCAGCCAGGAGCAACCACGCAGAAGGAAATGTCTGGAGTCAGAGCAGCACTGCCTTCCCCTCTCATTCCTGGACAGCCACAGCTGACCCTTCCTGGCCCCCTTTGCCTAGGCCACCAGGCCACTGCCATGAGCTATTTGTGACACGAAGTCGGACTGGGAGTAAGGGTGCCTGGACACACATGTTCCATTTCCAGAACGGCAGTGACTGTCTCCAGAAGGCCGTGTGAGTGTGCGTGCAGGGTGTGTGTCCGTGAGGGTGCGTGTGATTGTGTGGTGTGTGTGAGAGACAGAGAAAGAGAGCACGTGTCTGTATGTCTGAGGGCAGTGTGTTGGGAGGGGTGTGTGTGTGTGTGTGTGTGTGTGTGTGTGTGTGCGTGTTGGGGGCAGGGAAGGGAGCCGGTATGGAGAGGGAAGCTAGGCGCAGACCGAGACGGGCAGAGTGGACAAAAAGAGGAAAGTCTTGTCTTTGAGTCTGGCCTGGAGAGCAGGAGAAGAAAGAAGGAGCTCCTATTGGTGGTTGTCAAGGAGATGGG